TGAGGTGCGGATGGCGGAGGAGCGGAGGGGCGGGAGGAGCGGAGGAGTCGAGGGTCGGAGGGCGGAGGAGCGTTCTGAACCGTCATCGTTTCGACGCGGGAGCCGCTGTCAGCTCAGGGAGGGCGGGGAGGAGCGGAGGAGGCAGACGCTCGCGGAGTGCACGGCGGAGACGGATGAGACGGAGACGGACGAGGACAGGACAGGGCGAGCGAGGATAGGAGGGGGGGGGGGGGGGGGGCCGCCGGAGGCTGACGAACAGATGAGAGAGGCGGCTTTGCTTTCTCTGTCTTTCCCAATCCGCCATCCATCAGCGAGGAGTGCCCCGCCCCCCCCGCCCCCCCAACCACCCCCCGGCGGCTTGCAGTGACCCAACGGATCGATGATGGCGAGGAGTCGGGAGGAGCGCCTGCAGATTGGTTTGTCAGCGCGTGCGCTACCCGACGTCTGTCTGACGTTCAGGACGAAGCTTCCCGCGGACCACGCTGGTGGTTCTGTGGAGCGTGGCGGCGGCGGCGGGCGGGGGGGGGGGCATAGCTCCTCCCATCGCTCGGCCTCGATTGCTTGTTCCCCGCGCATCCTCTCCTCCCCCCCCGGCTTCTCGTTCCCTCTGACCTCTAATCTCGCCGTCCTCTCCCCATCTGTCTGACCACGAGAAGAAAGGTTATTACATATTTACATATTTATGACTAAACTAGCTGTCCTCATTCAACCAAGAATTCTGTCAATCTAAATCCATCAAGATGTTTTTTTTCACACAATTTGTAGACATTTTGTCTGTTAAAGGTCTTTAAAGGTGCGAGGAAATACATTGTGAAAGCGAAGCCTTTAATCTTCCCAGCTTTCTTGCATAATATCCTCCCCACCTGCTAGCGTTTGGGGGAAAGTCAACCTGCGTTTTTAAAAAGCTGCACTAAGCTCGACTCAGCAGTCCGCCCTGTCGTCGCTGTGCAGGAGGCTGCAAGCACTGCTGGACAGCGTGAGTTCAATACACAAGATTTAAAAACCTCCCGATACACTTTCCTTCCAATGGACAGCCTGCGAAAAGAAGTCCACAGTTTGAATATTAATGTTCTTTAGGTCAAATATAGAAGAGCGTGTGTGGACCAGAGGTGACTGCGCCGTCCGAATACAATATTGGGTGACTGATCTCTATTTAGAGCGGATAATAGCGAGCAAAGCGTCAGCCGCAGCCTCAACGGCAAGCCAGTAGTCACATCTCTAGACGTCTCCACAGTCACTTTCCCTCGTGTCCCAAATCTCCCACTGAATTCACACATTTTGAACGGCAGAATAAATTTGGGGGCGAAGACGAAACTGGAGTGCAGCACGTCTCTGCATTGGGACGGGCTGAAGGACAACAGGTCGCGGGGGTGAGGTACATGCATCCAAAGGGTTACGGTTAGATTTCGAAGCATCTCTCTTCCCACTGCACAACCAAACTCCACTTCAAGGCGCCGCTCGTCAGGGTTCAGAATCTGTCTGTTAGATGTTGCTGATATCCTGATATGAAAGGACATACAAATGCTTTTTCCTTTCTAGTCTTGGATTTCCACGATGAGACGTGGCCCCTGAACGCAGCAGAGCTTGCTGTAATCAAAAACATGGACCTCCGGGTTGCATTTCGGCATTTAGGCCTCGTTCGCGGCACGACATTTGCCCGAGATGACAATGTGGTGACATATGAGGGCGAGATTGATGGGAGAGGTTTTACCTTTTTAGCACCGGTCGCGGTTGGGAGCTCGAGGACGAATAAGGTGGTAAACGCTCTTCTAATCCATTTCGTTCACACTGTGAGGACAAACTGTCCTTCGCCGGTTCGCTTATGACGGCGCTTTGATTTGTTTTGAAGATTTCATTGAATTTGTATGCTGTCGCAGGCGAGGAGAGGGACGGGGGGGAGAAACTGTAGACGCGGAACGGAGTGGACGGATGACAAACGGAGTGAATTAGTTGCTGAGTCTAAATGGGCCCTCGGGCCGGCCTCATTGCAACGTCAGACTTCCCAATTTGGCTCAAGGCCCTTGTCGCACGCCATGCCTCATCTCGCTCTCTCCCGCTTCGGCTGCCGTCCTCCACTCTGTAGTCCGTATTAAAGCATTTAAACCTGGGAGAAAGGAGAAGATTTAAGATGCCACGGGGACCTTTTCTGGGAGATACGCCATCTCGCGCCACCGATGCAGCCAATCACAGCCAATCACAGCCAATCACAGCCTCAGCGCAACGCATGAGTGTTTTGATTTGTACTCATCCCTCCATACGTCTCCATAGTCAGCGTCCTTCAGGCAGCGGCGGAGTGGATGCGACTCTCAAGCAGGTTCAAGCACAGCTCCCCACAGAGCATTTTCCCTCGTCACAGGACGTGGCTCCTGGTAGACGAGAGCCCCTGGAGGACCACTCACGGGGGTGGGCGGGGGGCCGGGCACGGCGGCCCGTCTGCCTCTAGTGTGTTGTGTTCCACATTAACACGGTTTGGCTGACGCATCCGCGCCCAGAGTCCTTTTAAAAAGCGGGGGCCTTTGAAAACTGCTCCTGCATGGAACACGCAGCGGCGTTTCGTCGTTACGCAATAGTCTCATTTCGCTCCGCATTACATAAAACCCATAAAACCCTCAGACGGAGCCCGGGCGTCCAAAGAGTCCTGGCATACGCGCTGTATTTATGGGAGCTTATTTTGGTCCGTGAGATGGGACGAGGGGGGGCGGGGGGGGGCCACCCTGACATGTCATCCGAGTACACTCGCTGCGACCTCACGACACAAACCAGCAGCCTGTCAGCGGTCCTGCGAGCAAACCGGACGTCAACATGCATTTCTGTAGATGAAACGTGACACGGGGAAGTGAAACGGTTAAGAGCGCGTCGGGGGCTTCTTCTTTATTCAAATAGGTGAAAGTGATATTGTGTTAGAATCAGTCAATATCAATCCGGCTTCACATCGTCCATTTTGAGCACTCTGTTGGTCAATGAGCAAACTTGGCTTTCAGTCCCCAGACCTCCACCTGTCCTCCCTTGTTCTACGGTTTCCCCCCGAGCCGCATTGGATACCGAGTAAAAGCCTGCAAACATGCCTTCTGCCGGTCGGCCTCGAGTCACGTTTTGCATATCCCATTTCAGACACTAGTGGAAAACAAAGGTGCAACACAGGAACACGGTCTATGTAAATAAGACGTGGGGCCGCGGGCAGAGGCGCGTTTGACATATGACTCGCGGATAAATTGTGAATGTTAGCACAAACACGGCCCTCCTTGCTCGCTGCTTAAAATAATCATTTCACAAGGCAGACGGCGCGTTGCAGACGTTGCGTGAACAGCGGCCACGCAGCATGTATGAAAAGCGAGCCCACGGCCTGCGCATTTTGAACGTGTTCATTAATTTTCTGCACTTTCTCTCCTGCTGGCCCTGCTTGGCTCCTGGACGTGCCGTGGATCCTAATAGGCTTTGGATCCCCGCTCGCTGTTTTGATGCCCGGAGAGGGGGGAGGGAAGGTGGAGCAAGAAGCCGGCTGATGAATATAGACAGAAATGAACAGATAAAGAACATATATCAGTGGAATTAAATGAGGGGTATAATAAATAGGGGGAAATGTCTGGTGTTCCTGACTGAGAGACCTTTAATTGACTAGCCGTGCAGTGTCTGTACATATAAATCCAGGACAATATTAATAAAACGTCACCTGCATCGGCTTTAGTTCACTTCTGTCCAATGAGTAAGCGTTCTCGCACAAACGCTGACACGCGCCTTTTGGACGTCTCGGTAATATCTGCCCGCGGAACCAACCGGCCCGGGAGCGTTCTTAACTACGCAGGGCTGAAGGGCACGAAAAGAGGACTTCCTGTAGCCCCACTGGTCCACCAGCCCCCCCCCAGGCGGAGCCCCGTCCCCCCCCCAGAGAGACTTCAGAAGCAGCCGCTCACAGACCAGACGTAGGCGTTGACCTTTGACTCAGAGGCTCTCCCTGTTGGTGCTGCGCTCTGTAGATGAAGGAATAAACTACGGGAGAATAGATTTCCTGTTTGAAGGCAGAGCAACAAACGCCGTGTGAGAACATCGGCTTCCTCTCTCAGAGGTGGAGAGGTAACGCAGATTGATGAAGGGAAAGTAGGAGGGGGGTCTTCAGCAGGAGGCTATTTGAAGGGTATTTATCGTAGTAACCACATTACCTGCACGTCATCTACGGGTCGCCCTTCAGATAACACGTTGTTGCACGTTTTAACTGTGATCCAAGAAAGAAGGAGGGGAGGTGAAACGCAGCGTCCATGTTGTCAATATTTCAGCGCTCTTATTTTGACACACTCACGGTGGTCCAAGTGGAGTATCGGAGGTGTAAGATGGGACGCGGAGCTCCGACCTGGCTTCCAAATCAATAATGGATCTTCGGTGGAGCCAAAATGTAGAAAATGCTGAGGACGTAGTTAAATCGTGATGATGATGAGGATGATGTTCGTGGGGTTTTCGAGGCCCTCCTCATTAGGCCGTCATGTTCGGTCTGCTTCCATCCAAGTGGTGGCAAGAACAGAGCAGCAGAACATTGTGTCCGTCTGTGTGTGTGTGTGTGTGTGTGTGTGTGTGTGTGAAACCCCACATGCTCCTTTTCTATCTGCCTCTCTACCTCTCCGGCCCCGTGTGCGCTCATTCAGCCGAGTCATCAGTCAAAATGGACACAATAAACATTCGTCCTAATTTTCTGTAAGCCAGCGTGTCATTAGGGCCCCGTCTAACTACACTGAACGACTCCCACGAGGCCCCTGGTATTAAGGCCAATGAGGGCCCCTAAAGCTGTGCTGTTCACATAAACACACACAGACTTTAGCCACAGTGGCCGGTTTGGAAGTAGACAGTGTGATCAGTGTTGCTAGAATGTTTCCCTTCAGCCCGGATTCCAAACGGCTCCCTCGGGCAAACGCTCTTTGTGCGTCAAACGCTCTTTGAAACCTTTCAATTGGTTGACATTGATACTGAAATAGCTGTGCTTTTCCCCCCCCCTCCTTCTTCTTTTGCTACAGGATACGGATCTGCTGGATATATCGCACATAAAAGATGCCAGAAACGGAAAGTGCACCAAAACGCCAAAGGTAAGCCGGCAGTGAGCGGATGTTATTTGCCCCGCCGCCCCCCCCCCCCGAGTACTTCCTCATGTCCTCCTCTCCGTGCCGCCGCCTTCTCTCTGATGCAGGTCGGAGGGAACGTCTTCGCATGTGGCACAGCGATACTCGCTTGGACTCAGTAGCTTGAGACATTGTTCTGCTTCTTGTTCGTTGATAATCTGCAAACACAAGGATCTGTGCGCTGAGAAGAGAGGAGATGGTTTTTTATTTCCAGTGATCTTCAGATCTGCACTTTGTGCCTTTATGTTGCGATCGGGGGGGAAATTCTCCTGCGTGTATTTTATACAGTTCTTTGCAGTTCTGTGCTGCGAAGAAAAAAAACGCTTAAATGACCAACAGGATTTCAAGTCAAATCCACACACGGTTGGTTTCCAGATCGCTATTTAACCGCTAATTAAAGGCTCTGTGGTTGTGAGAAGAATTCGTGCACTTATTTATTTCTTCATCTGGCACGGCGCAAACATTCTGGTGCAGTGACAAAGCCAAAAGTACGTCTCACTGTTCCCGAGCCTTAAATAGAACAGTAATCTGCATTCTTTTTCCCCTTTCTTATTATATACACCTGCTTTATGAATAAATGTGACGCATTAGTCTGGTGCTGAGCCCGGTCTTCATCGTCCTGACGCCCCCCCCCCCCCACTGCTGCTCCGTCAGCGAGTGAGTAATGATGGAACCAGTACAATAACACAGGGAGGATTCATGCATTTCTAAACAGCTCACAGAGTGATGCTTCCCAGGGAGCAGACGCGACCACGTGGCGGTCGGAGCATTGGAAATCCATTACCGGGTGATGGAGCGCCGATGCACCGGGGGGGGGCTTTGTGACGGGAGCGGCAGCGAGACGCCCCGTCTGAAGAGACGGCGGGATGAGGAGGGCAGAGGGGAGCGACCAAGAGACTGCTGGGAGTGAGAGGGAGGGAGCAGCCGAGAGAGGAAGAGGGAGGAGGGAGGTGAGGGGTTTCATGTAACGTCTGCAGGAGGACGCGAGGGAGGACGCGTGGACGCTCCGAGGAAGCGCGGCGTTTTGTCGAGAGTTTGTCCAAATGGTGAAAAAAGTTACCCCTCATCCTCAGAGAACAGCAGAAAAGGGGGAAAGATTTCATTCTCGAGCTTAAATGAAATACTTGAGTCACACTGATCTGATCCGTCTTTCTGTTGATGTTTATCTGCTCTCGGCCTCAAAAGCTCCCATTCATGCAAATTGCTGGAAACCAACATGCTCGCCGAGACGAGACGTTGAACTCGTCGCTGAAAGGCTTCTATTGTGCTTCTATTGTGCCACTCGTGAGCCCGGTTCTGCCGGCCTCGGATGCGATCATCCCCGACAGACTGGAAATGGACTCCGGACGGAAAAAGGCCGCCTCGGCTCTCCTCTTTTGGAGCTCCGGTTTCCGCCGCGGCTCGAGTTGCTGCGTCGCGCTGGCTTTGAGCGCCGCGTCGGGAATTTCTGCGCCCCCAAAACGGCGCCCGGGGGTCGCCGAGGCCCGCCGCTGTGCTCATCAACTCGTCACAGCGCGCGGGCGGCATGTCTGGCCTCGGATGAACCTGCGCCGCCCTGCAGTTGTGATTCACTCGCTTCCCCTGTCAAAACACACACGCGTGCGCGCACACACCGAACACACATTGGTGGCGAGGAGAGAGGGAGGGGGGGGGGCTCACTACCACATGCACATGGCTGTGTTGTACTTGGTGAATACACAAACACATGCTGAGTGGAACAACGCAGCGCGGCGCCAGTTGCCTTTGTTCTGCTGTGTGCTCACAGCTAATTAGCTAATTAGCACGTGTGTGTGTGTCCGCCCCCCCCCCCACCGGTCACAGCTCAGGCTGATTACATCGCCGATGTTTTTTTGATGGATGGATCCAGAACTAAACCACACACACGGGGTCCACGAGGAAATCCTGAATCTACATACGGGGAACGACTCAGAGGCCGAGTGTGAAACGTGATGAAAACGTGATGAAACGTGACGAACTCCACCAGCGTGCGTCAACCAGCACACGCCTGCCTGGAGAGGAACAAAGATCTTGAGGCGCAGATCGCAGAGGTGACGCCTGGTCTGACCTGCTGCATCGTCTCGGGTGGTCGGCGTTCACCTGGCTGATACTCGCCGATCGGGGGGCTGTGACTCTGCTCTCGCTGATTGGCCGTAGATTAGTGTCGCACATCGGAGTGTTTGCACAGTGGACTCGAGGCCGTTAGCGCTTCGCGGCGTATTAGTGGGGGAAATCCTTTGGAACGGCGGTCGGGCAGAAGGAGCGCTGATGGTTTGAGAGCAGGCAGAATGTAAAAGGAGGAAGGACAAAGAAGGACAATGAGTCGCCGCCAAGGCCTTAGTCAGAGAGGCTGAGTCGCATAGAGTGTGTGTGTGTGTGTGTGTCTGTGTGTGTGTGTTCAACAGACAAAAAGACATAATACAATCTCTGGCTTTTGTACTCCTGTTGGATATTCTGCATGACTATAAATGGATGTCATTTTATGAACTTTGCAGACGGTTGTCGCTGTTTATTAAAAATATTGTAATGACACAATTTATGCATATTGAACACAGAAAACACTGTTGTTTTATCCTAAATATTTATTTTTTTGTTAATCTTGTGCAACCACGAGTAGAAGTGGGAATCCTGCACATTTTGGTGCTAAAAATAGCTTTACAGGATATTGATGGTAGTTTTTATGCGATGGGCCATGAACTCATTTAAGTCTGTGACAAAAAAAGTGAATTACCAAACTAGTTGTAAATCAGTGGCAGAAGCAATAAAGACCTTTAAAGATACCAAAGATGAATGTGACAGTTAATGTGACACTATTTTCCAAAAAGACTGAAAACTCCCTGCCTGTTCATGGCGTGCAGCAGAACAAATAACGACAATAATTGAAAGGGGAAATAAAGGAGCTGTTTGCATGTGGAAATGCAAACGAATGGGAGCGCGGCTCGTCTTTCCTCCCCAGCAGGCAGCTCGGAGACATTTCCGTGCACAGAGGCATGACTGGACTGTCTGTCAGCTGTCAGGGTCTGGAGAGAGAACGCCCACACACTCCCGTTTTAGATCCACGCACACACACACACGCACACAAGTAGGCACACACAGCGGCACGCTCACGGTGATCTCTGAAATACCGTGGGCTGTATCCGAGAAGCGGATCACCTCTCGAAAGGCTCGCGTTCTGCGTTGTGGTAACCTTTGCGAAGCCGATTCTATTTTTACCGCTTCTGTGTCCATTTACTAATTGAGCATAATGCCGTATTTAAGAAGTATCGAAACGAGCAGTTGAGACCATGAAGTCACGTTGGCGACGTTTCAAGTATCAAGTGGGAAGCGGTCACCATCTCTCATGCAATCTGAGGTATTTTACCGCCGTAGGTGTCGCCCCCTGATGGCCATTAGAGAGAATGCAAGCTTCAGGCACTTTGGCATCACTAACATGGACCCGGCGGTAGCTGCACCACCCAAGCATGTGTCGTCGCCTCCACGTTTTACCCGCTGTCTCGCTCCCGTTTTAGTCAATCTGTCAGCATCTATATGTGCAGAAGAGAACGGTTACCAATGACATCGCTCCCGGGCCGGGTTTTCCTCAGGGGGGAGGGGTGGGGAGGCGTGGGGGGGATCAGCCGCAGGGCAAATGGCAGATTGCAGCGAGCGGTGATTAAAGTAATCGGGTCTATGGACTCATTGGTTTTCATAAAAGAAACCGCCGCACCATTTGTCATCAGTCAAAGACAGGCAATTGATCAGCGCCACGCGTCGGCGTGACCTCCAGGCGAGCGGCGGCAGGCGGGATTGAAGAGAGGCGCCGCAGAGAGAGAGAGAGAATGAAAAAACGAAGCGAGACGAGAAGCTGACCGTGAAGGGTTAGGGTTGGATCCTTTAGCCAATTACCCCAGTCGTCCCTGCGCAGAGTTGGATTCCCCCAGGGAGAAGCTCGCCGCCTCCTTCGGCGCTCACGGAGGAATCAGAGGTGATTCTCTTTCTGTCAGCGTGAGACCGGAGCCGCCGGGTGAGGATGAATGAGGCGAAGAATGAATGAACAGATGAAACAGAGACTGTGACGAACAGAGAGGCCTGTGTCAGCGCAGGGGGAGAGTTACCCCAGACCCCATAACCAGCACAATGGTGCACCTGTGCAGGTAAAGTTCCCAACTGTAGCAGAGCCCAGCTGGAATTTCTCAAACAATTTCCCCAGTTACGGATTATTCGGCCTTGTTCTTCTGTATTATTTTAGCTCGGTGGCTATAAGAAGAAACGAGGGAGTTCATTTGTTTCCTTTATTTTTCACCCTCAACTCCACAAACTGCCATCCGCTGTGTATTTTCTCCCCAGTTAACCGTGTTATTGAACTTGATGAAGTCAACTCTGTGTGCTGCACATTGTAACGGAGAAATTCAAACAGAAGAAAATTGGTTAGATGGAATCACAAAGTCTCATTGAATCACCATCCAGACAGATGGCGAAAGGAGAGGAAGACAAGAACAAAAGCGTTTCACCTCAAAACAATGGCGTCATTGTCATGAACTTCGTTCGTACACAGATACAAAGGTTGCGTTAGAGGAGGTTTGAGGAGAAAGGATACGATACGTGACAACTGAGCTCCCAGTAGCTTTGCTGGAAGTCCGTGTAGAACAAAGATACGACACAAACAGATGAACCGTCGTCAGTCAGTCACTCCATGCCGCCAATGAAATCAGCCGTGGCACTTTGTTAACACGGCCAGGGTCTACCAAGTGGTACCGGACCTGATCAAATAATGTCTGTCGGCATTTAAGCCGGTCAAGACAAATCGGTGGAAACATCGGACTCCATTTGTCTTTCGATTGAGCTCCGACAGGCAGGGGAAGGTCGGTGGACAGTCCCAGATTGGATAGATGGATGCATCCCCACACGTCTGATAAGGTCAAGTACCGTTCCATCTCTTAGCCCACCGAAGGGCAATTTTGTTACGTGTGGATTCTTTCTAATGGCCGAGA